AGAAAAGGGGATTTTGAAAAAATTAAAAAATAAAAAGCTATCTTCGCTCTTTCTTAATTTTCTGTATATTTCCACTATCTTCATGTCTTTACTTATTCAGATAATTTTCATCTCTCATAACTTCTGTCTGCCTGATGAACCTCAGTGAGATGTACTTTTTTGGTCACTGTGTCCTCGTTTCTTACTGATTCCATTATAGTACCACCATCATTCATGTTCTCCAAGCATAGATATCGTGGGTACTTTTAATTTTTCTTCATTCCTCCTAAAACATCGAGATGAATTGCTGAGACTTGATCTATCTCTATCCTGCTCAATAGCAGTGCATCTTCTTTCTTCTATTGCTATTCCTAATTTATGTTTTATAATCCTCTCTGGAGAAGCCTCCAAGCCAGATTAATTTTATTGAAATATAGTTCACAAAATATTCAGTAATTCTCCTTTGTCTTCAGAGTGAATCCCAAATTCCTTAGTTTCCACAAAACTAACTTTCCATTTTTTCCTTACTATATCTTATAGTAGGGCCAGGAAGATAGCTCAGTGGTTTAAGTGCCTACCTAGCAAGTACAAGGTTCTGAGTTCAATCGCTGGTACATCATCATCACCGTCATATCATCATAATGTCACCCTGTGGTAGCTACTTTTAATACTATAGTAGCCTCAAATGTAAATTTAGGTCCAGTTTGGGTTTCAGAGCCTACCCTGCTGCCCACTTTGCATATGGCTTTAAGCAAGTTGCTTGACCTTTCTCAAAGAAATTTTTCTATAAAATGGGAATAAATTTGTCTCATTGATTGCTGACAGTATTAAAGGAGAGTATAGATTAAAAATGCTTGTCACAGCTCAAGAAATGATTTCATCTAAAGTTACTACTTTCTTAAATTATCAGTAGCTTCTCATTCCTAGCATTACATGATATTCTTTTTTCCTGATTTGTGTGATTAAAATTTAACCATCTTATTAATCTAATTAAAGGAACAGTTTTTGCTTCACTGATTCTTCTCTAGTGCTCTTTGTTTTTAAATTTCTACTCTATTCTTTATTATTTTCTTTCTTGTACTTACTTTAGATATAATTTGTTCTTTGTTTTTGTTTTTGTTTTTGTTTTTTATAATTTGTTCTTCGTTTGCTCATTCTTGAGGTAAAGCATTGAGGTCTCTGATTACAGACCTTTCTTCTTTTGTAATATAGCACTTAATTGCTGTAAATTTCCTGCCAACTACTAGGGACCAGTATTCTAAGTATTGCATCTATATTTTCATTCATTTAAAGTAATTTTTTATTTTCTCTTTTGATTTCTCCCTTAACTCATAGGTTGCATAGAAAGGCATTATTTACTTTTCAAATGTTTAAGAATTTTCCAATTCTATTTTTGTTTTCAAATTTAATTGCACTGTGTGTTCAAGGAGTATATTTTGTGTGACTCTTATTCTTCTAAATTTAGTACTAGTTTTACAGCTCAGTATATGTTCTGTGTAGGTAACTTACCTGTTTTCAGTTAGAATATGCGCTCTGTTATCCTTAAGTTGAATGTTCTAGAGAACTTGAGTCAAATCGGTTAATTGCGATTTCCAAATTTTTTGTGGATTTTCTGTTATGAATTCCTATACTGACAGAGTACTGAATTTTCCTACTATAATTGTCTATTTCTCCCTGCAGTTGTATGTGTTTTTTATTTATGTATTTTGAAGCATTGTTACTAGGTACATAAACATTTAGATGTTGTGTTTTGTCTTTTCTGAGGCAAGGTCTTGCCATGTGGTGTTCAGGCTGGCCTTGAACTCACATCCAGGCTGGCCTCAAACTCATGGTGATCCTATTTCACAAGTATTAAATGAAGGAAAGGTACAAATAGTCCTTGTTTAATTGATTTTTTTTTTTTTTTTTTTTTTTTTTTAAACTGGGAATCAGTCCAGGGCTCTGTGCTTGCCAGGCAGGCACTGCGCCACTGAGCTAAATCCCAGCACATAGATTCCTTATTTAATGACCTGCCTGTTTAACTACCATTTGGACTTAACCAAGGCATGCTTTGGATTTGCAATCTGTCCTTATTGGTGTTTTGTTTTGTTTTTTAATATGGTACTATACAACTTGTGTATAGTGCCTCAGTGTCTTTTTTTTTTTTTTTTTTTTTTTTTTTTTTTTTTTTTTTTTTTTTTTTTTTTTTTTTTTTTTTTTTGCAGTACAAGGGATTGAACTCAGGACCCTGTGCTTGCCAGGCAGGTGCTTATTCTACTAAGCTATCTCCCGGCCCCTAGAGCCTCAGTGTCTTTTTTTTGTACAATACACCTGTTTATACAGTATGGTAATTTTTGTTGATGGTACTGTACCCTGTAGTACTGGAGTTTCACGTTCTGTTAAACATTACTGCACTGCATGAGTTAATCAAAAAGACTGACCGAAGTCATCAAGTTGGAGTCTCCTTTGACTATTTCTTTGTTCTGAATATTGCACCTAGTTTACATTTCTTCATTTAGCAATTAATTCATTCAGTGATCTAGTCATGAGACCATAACTGGCCCTTAAGTGAGGAATGTCTATATAAAATACTACATATTAGAGCATAAATATGTGATAAATAAGTTTATCATTATTCAATAAAATGACAAATTGACACTTTTTGTACTTACAGCTCTTAATATTTACTTATCAAACTTTATATTTGTATGGAGATCACACATAATTACAATTTGAGTCTTAGATACTTAATCTGAAAGAATAAATTATGTTTGAGAGGATATTTATTCAGACAGATAGCGATATAGATATATTTCTTGCCATTGTTTTTATCTGTGTATTTAATATGTAAAGGAATTCCTTTGTATTTTAAGCTCTTAAATCCCAAATACAAAATATCAAAGAATAATGCCCCAATCTAAATTTGTTATATATTTGTACATCTCGAGTGTAGTATTCTATAACAAGTGACTATAACTGATTTGTTTTTATTACTACATGGCAAACATCACCAGGCCTTGCCTCTTTTATCACTATGTGTTGGACTATGTCTTTTTTTTGAGAAACGGGATTGAACTCAGGCCCATGCACTTTCCAAGGAAGCACTTATCCTACTGAGCCATCTTCCCAGCCCTAGACTATGTCTTATACAACATCCTCCCTTTTTTTTTTTTCCAGGTCGCATTGGAAAGGTCTTCCAGAATTGACCAATGAAAATGGCCAGTACTGTCCTTTCAGCTGTGAGACACAAGCCTGGTCAATTGCTACTGTTCTTGAAACACTTTATGATTTGTAGTTGATTCATAGATATTTAATAGGTATGCAACAACTTATGGAATACCAGGTGATAATATAATGTAAATCATATGTACAAGCTAAAGTCATTGCAAAAATTGCATTTATATGATACTGGTGCCCAATTAACTAAGATTACAAAGCATTGGTTGGTTTTTGGTTTGGTTTGGTTTGTGTTTGTTGTAGCACTATGGCTGAAATCCAGGACCTTGTGCATGCTAGACAAGTGCTGTGTCATTGAACTATAGTCCTGACCCTCTCTTTTTTTTAGTGTAGAAAGATAGCTTACAGTTTTAATCAGAAAGAAAAATTATCAATTAACAATGGAAGTTTTTCTTTTTAATAAATGTTCTTTAATGTGATGAAATCTCAAAGTTATAAAAAGAAAAACTGTAGTCTTTAACTTGTTTGTAAGTGAAAATAAAATGAGAAAAGGAAAACTGGAAAGGGATCTTTGAATTGTGGTATGTATTATCTTCAGGATCAGTACATATAGAATATCTTAGGGTTCTCTCTCTCT